CGGAAACTCTATGTACGAACAGTGCTCAGGCTGTTTGTTCATAGGGTCGCTATGAGTCGCCGACGACTCGACGGCATCAAACAACAACTGTTGTGTAGTAGGTTTCGAGAACAGGACGTGAGATACTTTCAGCTTAAGTTTTTGTTTTTTAGAAGAGCTTTGCTTATTCTGGGTCTCTTTCCTTTCCAAATGAAACTGAATATTATCTTTTCTATTTCCTTGAAGAAATGAAGTTGGTATCTTTATTGAGAATGCACTGAACTCCTAAATTGCTTTTAGGAGGACTGCCATTTTCACTATGTTGTGTCTTCCTATCCATAAACAAGGAGTATTTTTTACATTTAGTTACATTTCTTACTGTTTCTTATAGTAGTGTTTTGTAGGTTTTTTTTTTTTTTATGTCGGTCTTTGGTGTCTCTAGTTAGGGTTATTCTCAAATATTCCATCTTGTTGTTGGCAATTGTAAATGGTATTATTTTCTTACTTTCTTTTTAGAAAGTATATCAAGTATATTATTTCTATCTTCACATCAGAACCACTTTAACTTTAAATTATATACTTAGTAAAGAATGAATGAAGACAGAAGAATGTCATCTACTTCTTAAACAACATGCCTCCGAAAACTCGATGAACTTTGATAAATGGCAATAGTTGTAGAAAGGCTTCGGGCCTTTTGTTCATAGGGTCACTACTGCTCGATTCGAAGCAATCAACAAAAACTAGTGAAGAATGAATGAAGACAAAAGAATGTCAAGGACTTCTTCACTTAATCTACGTCTTACAAAAAAACAACATAAATATTATATGTATGGGGTATTATATTAGCTAATACAACATTTCCCTTTTTTTGTTAACTTTAACATGTTCTTTAACATGTCTTCTGTGAAACATTGCCCGTAATCTATTACTTTCATTTTTATGAATGTTACGTGTTACATTTCTTTTCCTTCTCTGACATCCTTATACTGACATTACTTCTAATACAAATTTTAAAATGGCAAAATAAATAGGATGTGGCATGCTTTCTCATCTGTTTTATATCCCTGCATTAAAACATTTTACCATAAAATTAAAAATATTTTATTGTTTTTGTGTACATATCAATATATACCCAGCAAACATTTTATTAATAAAACAAGTTATTCCTTTTTTGTTGAAGTATACCAACTTAAAAAAACACTTTCTATTAAAACATCATCCAAAATATGTTAATAATGTAAAATATGCTTTAATGTAAATAAGCAAAGGTGATTGTTTCCAATACACTTCTTTTCACCACCATGTAATGTGTTACTAATTCTCAGTTAACCTTCAGGACTCTGTACATACTATTCTGAAATACCGTGGTGAAGTGAGGCCTCCCATCATGAAGCAGGATGCTACACAGGGGAGGATTAGCTGCATTGGAAGGATCTTCCACATCCCAAATTTCAAGCATACTGCAACCAGGCCTTAAAAAAAACAGACACAAATATATTAGCAATGCATCCACATCTGGAAGGAATAGGCTTTAATCCATAAGGCCAAGATTTTAAGTATTTCTAAGGACTTGAGTTAAAAATAATGAACAATAAAAAGGAACAAAAATATTATAAATAAAATTAAGTGTGTTGTATTTTCATATTCTACTAAAACAAATAGCAAGACATGCTGTTTTATGGTTCAACATATATCCATAAATACATGTAAAATTGAATTTCAAATGAAATACATATTTGATATTTTTAAAGTAGCATTGTATTCAAACATCTGCTCTAACTGTAATACAAAGATAAAAACTGAATGGAAGTTAAATTCTTGATGAAGATAGAGACTAAAATATGTATGAAAAAGCATATCCAAGACAAGACAATATAAATAAAATACAAATATAAGACAAGAAAGGAGGTTGCCAGTTTTGTTGTCAATTCTTCCTTTTTTGGTTGGATCCATGAGTAGGTATGAATGAGACAATATTTCTCCTAGAAATGTACAAAGTAACTTGGTTTTTCTTTTAACCACTCATACACTTTTTATGTAATATGATTACTTACACACTTGTTGTTAGGAACCATTGAGTTGAGTACCTTTATAGTAACTTGAAGAACAACAGATCTGACCCTTATCCCTCTTGCCCCATCCTTACTTCTCCGTTATGTGCAATCTCAGGCACCAAGGGATCTTAATTATCACTGTTGTTGTTGTTACGTGCCTTCCAACTCATAGGGACCCAATTTACAACAGCTCTGAACCCTACTCTATCCTGAGCCTAGCTTATTGTCTCTGACATACCTACCCCCATTACCTCAGTCACTGAGTCAAGCCATCTCATTCCTCTCTTGTGTTGTCCTCCCCCCCCCCACCCGCTCCAAGTAGGATACCCCTCTCCAAGGACTGGTTTCTCCTGGCAACAGGCCCAAAATATGTCAGATGGAGCTTCAGAATCCTTGCTTCCAAGGAACAGCCTGGTTTCACCCTCTCTACGATGAACTTATTTGTTCTCCTAGCAGTCCATGGCATATTCAGTACTCTTCTCCAGCACCATAACTCAAAGGTGTCAATTGTCCTCCTATCACCCCTAGTCATTGTCAAGCTTTTTGATACACAGCAAGTAACTGTGAAGACCATGACCTTGATCAGGCACACCTTAGTCTCTAGACTGACATAATTTCTCTTCAGTACTCTGGCGAGGACCCTGACAGTAGACTTTTCCAATGTAATTTGTTTTGTTTTGTTTTTTAAATTTTCTGACTGCTGATATCAAGAGTGTTGATTGTGGAGCCAAGCAAACTGAAGCTGTTAACAATCTTAATCTCTTCAACATCTATCAGGATGCTGCCAATCAGCCCAGTGGTAAAAATCTTTGTTTTCTTGATGTTGAGCTTCAATCTGCATTGAAGGCTGCAGTTCTTGACCTTCTGCAACAAATGCTTCAGGTCCTCCTCAATTTCAACAAGCAAGGTTGTGTTATCTGCATAACACAGATTGTTGATGAGTCTTTCTCCAATCCTGATGCCACATTCCTCCTCATAGAGCCCAGCCTCCTGGATTATCTGCTCTGTATATAGATTGAAAAGATATGGTGACAAGGACACATCCCTGATGTACACCCTTCCCAGTTTTGAACCATGCAGTGTTTCCTTGCTCTGTTCTGATAACTGCCTCCTTGTCAGTACAAGTTTTGCATAGTACAATCAAACGCTATCTCAAGTTTTATCTTTTCTAGAATTTCATGTAGCTCGATTATTAAACTATGCTTATTTTTCTGGCTTCTTTTGTTTATCATATGAGTCCCATGGCACATTAATTTATGCACTTGACTGCTAACTAGAATACAACAGGTGTTCTGAAGCATAAAGTAGTAATCTTCTACCATAAAATAACTTCCATGGAGCAGTTCCCCTCGGTCCCCCAATGTTACTATGATTTGGAATGGACTTGGCAGCAACAGGTTTGCTTTTACTTTTGCATGTTTTTGAGCTACCTATCTTGGGTGTAGTTCTAACAACTAATAGCATTCTTCCAATAGTTCCTTTATTTTTATTGTTCAGTATTATTCCATTTATAGGATACCAAAATTTATCTACCTGTTCATAAATTGAACATTTAAGATATTTTTGAGGTTTGAGCAGTTAGGAACACTGCTGCTGTGGATATTCACACGCAGTTTTGGGTGAACATAGTCATTTCTGGCAGTGAAACAGTGAGAGAAGAACTGGTTTTAATTGCTGTTATTGTTAGGTGGCATCAAGTTGAGAACAACTCAGAGCTGTCCTATGAACAAAAGAGCTGGACCCTGTTCTACCCTGTGCCATCCTCACACTTCCTGACACCCAAGAACCCACTGTGGCAGTCATGTGTCAATCCAGCTGGTTGAGGGTCTTCCTCTCCTTCACCAACCCTCCTCCCTTCCCAGCGTTATGTTCTTGACCAAGGAATAGCACCTCCTAGACACATGTCCCAAGTATGTGAAGCAAAGCCTCATCATTCTTGCCTCCAAAGAGTACTCCGGCTGCATCCTCTCCAAGCCATATCTGTTCTCTTGGCTGTCCATGGCTGTTCAGTGCTCTTCTCCAAAACCATAGCTCAAAGGCATCAATTCTTTTTCTGTCATCCTTATTCATTGTCTAGCTCTCAAGTGCATAGCAAGTAATTGGAAAGACTATGGCCTGAATTAGATGCACCTTTGTCTTCAAACTGGCATCACTACTCCTAAATGATTTGAAAGGTCCCTAACTGCAGATTTTCCCAGTGCAATGCTTCTCCTTATTTCCTGACTACTGGTACCAAGGGTATTAATTGTGGATCCAGGCAAGATGAAGCTGTTGACAGTTTCAATATCCTCTCTGTCCATTAAGAATCTTTATTTTCCTGACATTGAGATGTAATTCATACTAAAGGTTGCATTCCTTGATCTTTTGCAACAAGTGCTTCAAGTGCTCCTCACTTTCAACAGGAAAGGTTGTGCAATCTGCATAATGCAGGCAATTGATGAGTCTCCCTTCAATCCTGATGCCACACTCCTCTCTGTAGAGTCCAGATCCTCGGGTAATTTCCTCAGCATAACTAATGAATAGAGAATACAACCTTGGCACACTCTTTTGTTGTTGTTGTTGTTGTTATGTGCCGTCGAGTTGCTTGGGACTGATAGCGACCCTGTGTACAACAGCCCTAAACCCTGCTCTATCCTGTGCCAATCTCACTGTCTCCAACACACCTTGATTACCCCAGTCACTGAATCAATCCACCTCATAGAGGGTCTTCCCCTCCTGTGCTGTCCTTTCATCTTATTTTATTATTTTGTGTATGTGTACTGTCAAATCAGATCTGACTGGTACAGGAGGAAATTGCCCCTCCTTTTCCAGTAAAGCATTTAGTGGACTTGTACCTCTAGGATTGCAGTGCATCTTCTTGGCACTAGGCCACCAGTGCCCCCTCCCTTCTTAATTTTAAACCGTGTAGTGTTCTCCTCCTCTGTTTGTGCAATAGCCTCCTGGTCCACGTATAGGTTCTGCATGAGCAGAATCAAGTGCTCTGGGATTTCTATTCTTCTCATTGTCAGCCACAAGTTCTTGTTGTTAGGGATCCTCAAGTCAGCTCCCCGCCCTTTTTTTGAAAATTTTATTTTATTGTGATTTTAAAGAATGTTTACAGCCAAGTTGGGTCTTCCATTCATTATAGTACATTTATTTATTTATTTATTTTAAATTTATGTTAATGAAAAGTTGACAGAAACTTTGTATTTCCATTCATTCATTGTTGCACTCTTCTCCCTGCCCACCTCTCCGTCCCAATTAGCTTTTCTCTTTGACAAGCAAAAGAAAAAAACTCTTTCATTGTTCTTCAATCTCCCCACCCCCAAGTACACTCCACTAAACTACCTTCATTCTGGACTCCTGTAATGACAATAATATCTAATCATATGTCTCTTTTAAATAGTTCTCTTTCTCATCTGTTTCAATGCAGTATACACTATCTATCCCCTCCTTCTAAGTCTCCCCCCCCAACCCCTGTGTCAGTCCTCTTTTATAACAGCAGCATTAGGCCGTATTTATCAGCTTTTTTAAGTGACCCTATATACCACAGAAGAAACTACTTCCCAGATTTGCATCCTCCTCATAGTACCTGCTGTGGCTCACATTTTTGGTGCAGTCACTCTGTCAGTCTATTTCACTAAAGGTTTTCCTTTTTTTGCTGACTCTCTTTTTCACCAAACACAATGGCCCTTTCCAGGAAGTGGCTCCTTTTGATAACATGCCCAGGGTATGTTAGACAAAGTGTCATAATCTTTACTTCTAAGGAACATTCTAGTTGTACTTCTTCTAATACATATTTGTTTGTTCTTTCAGGAGTCCATGATATATATTCAATATTTTCCACCAAGACCACAAATCAAAGGCAGAAATTCTCCTCTGTCTTCCTTATTCATTGTTCAACGTTCATATGCATATAATGTGACTGAAAATATCATGACTTCAGTCAGATGCAGCTTAGTCTGCAAAGAGACCTTCTTTTTCTTTAACCCTTTAAAGGGGTAGTTTTGCAGATTTACTAACTGCAAATGTAATTTGATTTCTTAATAGCTGCTTCATGCACGTTGAATTTGGATCCAAGTAAAATGAAGTCCAGTACAACTTCAAAATTTTTTTCTTTTCTGATGATGTTGTTTATTGGTTCAGTCATGAGGATTTTTATTTTCTTTATGTTGAAGTGTAATCCATGCTGAAGGCTTTATTAGGCTCTGATCTTCATCAAATACTGATCTTCCAGTCTTTAGTCATGAAGATCTTCACTTTCAGCAAGTAAGACTGTTCATTCCACATATTGCAAGTTGCTAATGAGTATTCTTTCAGTCCTGAAACCATATTCTTCTTCATATAATACAGCTTCTTGAATTATTTACTCAGCGTACAGAGAATAGGTATGGTGAGAGGATATGGTCCTGACACACCTCTTTCTTGATTTCAAATCATGCAGTAAACTCCTCTTCTGTCAAAATGACTGCTTCTTGGTCTGGTTTCACATAAGCCCAAGTAAAGTGTTCTGGGACTCACATTCTTCTCAATGTTATCCATAATTTGTTATGATCCTCACATATGCAAATGTTTTATCCAGTAAAACACAAGTAAGCATCCTTCTAGTTTTCTCTGATTTCAGTATACTTCTCTCTGAAATCAATAATGATGCTCCTTGTTCCATGGGCTCTTCTGTATCTAACTTGAGTTTCTGATAGCTTTCTATCAATGCACTGCAGCAACCATTTAACAATATTCAGCAAAATTTTATTTTTGTGTGATATTAATTATTATTCTATAATTCCTATATCTTGCTGCATTGCATTTCTTTTGAATGGGCATAAACATCTATCTATTTCAATTAGTCAGGTATTTGCCTTCCAAATTTCTTGGTATAGATAACTGAGCATCTTGGCACTGCATCTATTTGCTGAGACATCTCAATTGGTACTTCTTTAATTCCTTAAGCCTTAGTTTGTATTGTTTTAATTACTTTGCCAATTCCTTCAGTAGTATTTGGATTTCTTCTTTCAGTATCACTGGTTATTGATCACATACTTCCCCTGAAATTACTGAGCTGTGACCAATTATTTTTGGTACAAGTGACTACGTATTTTTCCCATCATCTTTTTGTGTTTTGTGTGTCATTCAGTATTTTGTCCATAGAATCCTTAAGGTTGAATTTATTTTCCACTTCTTTGAGCTTGAAAAATGTCAAATATGTTCTTCCTTTTTTCTTTTTTAGCTATAAGTCATTGCATATTTCATGATAATATTTTGTTTTCTCTAGTCACCCTCTGGAATCTGCTCCGCTCTCTTTTATCTTTCATCATTTCTTCCATTCATTGTATATTGCCACATTCTATAGAAATTGCTGGTCTAATCAGACATCCATTTTTGTCTTTTCCTTCTTGTTGTCTTTAATGATCTTTGCTTTCTTCTTGTATTACATCCTTGATGTCATCTTATAACTCATCTAGACTCTGGTTATTAAAGTATCAAGTCTATTTTTTAGATGATCTCAAATTCAGAGGAAATATACTCTAGACTGTATTTTGGATTTTGTGGTCTGTTTTCATTTTCTTAAAGTTCATTTTGTACCTGCATATGATTGTGTATTCTACAGTCAGCTCCTTCAATTGTTCTGACTGGTGATATTGAGCTTCTTCACCATCTCTTTTCACAGGTACAGTCAACGTGATTTCTTGTATTCCATTCGCCAAAACCCACATGTATAATTTAAATATTGTATACATGTAGCTTCTATTTTTTTAAGAAGTATTGCTATGACTAAGCTGTTGGTTGTATTAAATTATAATATGCAATTGTAGGCCCTATTTTTATCATCAAGGCCATATTTTCCAGCTAGCAATCCTTCATCCTTCTTTATTTCTAACATTTGCATTCCAATCATAAATTATTAGTATAACATTAATTGTATTCCTTTTTTATTTTAGACTATAGAAATTTATATAAATTCCGTTTCTTCATCCTTGGCTTTAGCAACTGGTGTGTATTTTTGAGTAATAGACATATTTATAGTTTTTCCTGTTATGAGTATTTGTATTAACTTATTATCAGCAGTGTTGTATTTTACTTGAAATGTTCTTTATGATGATGGATGTGATTATCTCATTACTCTTAAATTTATCTTATTTAAGATGATAATTTTTGGTTTTTATCTCAGTGAAAGTTTACATATAAATTTTTCACTCGTTCGTCTATCGAACATTTTGTTCTAGAACAATTCTAATCGATTAATATAGAATTCATTATGTCTGATAAACTTCTTACTCTGTATTTCTTTCCCTTCTCCTATCTTTTCTGTTTATTAACTTTTGCTTTCCTCTCCCTCCATTCCTATTCCTGGAAAATATGGGGTAATAATTCTTAAAGAATTACTGAAAATATTTCTAACTTTAACACACACGGTATCATGTATCACAGGCTTAATACTCACTTAGTTCTCACAATACACCATGCCTCTTCTAAAATGTAATAATTTACATGTAATTCTGATAGTTTATCTCTCACTTCTTTAGGGGATTTTCGGCTGTATGTGGAATAAACAATTTTTGTCCGGACCCTTTAAAGTAAAACAAGTTAAAATATTTAAGATAAATGATAATAGAATGGACTAAAGCACATTTTCTAGAAAATAAAAATCTCAATGCTCACTGGATGAAGTATTGATATATATTATTCAAAATGGCATAGACTATTTTAAGTTAGGTATTTCCTAAAGAAGCTTTCATGGTATGGGGAGTTGCACAGTTAACCCAAAGTCACTATGGCAGTTTGAATTCACCTGTAGCTGCATAGGATGAAGTTGTGCATCTCCTCTCCAGTGATTTACATCCAATGGAGAGTCAGAAATGAGCTGATTTCAACTCAAAAACAATGAGTTAGCTATCTTATATCTTGCATGCTCTTGAACTTATAGCAGTTTGACTATTTCCCATACAGCTGGTTAGTGTATAAATTAGTTTAGAGGCACACAAGGTGGCAAGAAGTGACTTGATATAAAATTCCTTTTGCATAATTCACAAAATAATTAATACACTCATGGCATAAACATAGAAAGAGTAGAATGCAGTGATTTCAGTAGAAAATATCAGACAGAGAAGCACTGAAAAATACACCAGTTGAGGATGAAAGCTGTAAATAAAACACACTAGACTACATTAGCATAAAAGTAAAAAAGAAAAAAAAACACACCTTGGCAGTAAAAAGAATTTTTAAGAAATCCTGGTCCACTGACTCATGAAATGTAATTAAGATTTTAAGTACATTGCACAGTAATCTTCAAAACCAGACAAAAAAATGAAAATATTTTTAAATGTTACTTCTAGTAACAGGCTACTATTGTTGTTGTTAGGTGCCATTGAGTTAAGTACAACTCACAGTGATGCTATAAATAGTAGATCTGAAACCTGTCTTATTCCGTGTCAGCCTCACAATCTCTGACACACTTGAGCTCACTGCTGCAGTCACTGTACTGTGTCAATCCATCTGGATGAGAATCTTCTTCTCTTTTT